ATATAATATAATAATGATATAATATAATTTAATAATATAATATATGATATAATAATATAATAATGATATAATATATGAAATAATAATAATATAATATAATAATAATATCATATATGATGTAATATAATAATAATATCATATATGATATAATATAGATATGGTTCCTCTCTCGTCTCCTGACCACTCAGAGCTCTTTACTCATTCATTCACATTCACACATTCACAGTGGTTCAGCATCAGCAGCAGTTTGGGGTTGAGTATTTTGGACACTTCCACCTGCAGCTGGAGGGAATCGAACCACCAGCCTTCTGATTATGACCGAGCCGCTCTTCCTCCTGAGACACAGACGCTAACTCACTAAATGTTACTCAGTTTTTTTTAACATGTGATGAAATATAATAATTGTCAGAGGTCAGCTCCCATTAACAACGCTGAGGTCACATCCTCTGTTTCTTTGATTGACTGATTGATTGATTGATTGATTGTTATATATAGTTATATAAGCTATATATAGTTACATAAGTTATATATAGTTATATATAGTAACATAAGTTATATATAGTTATATGTTATATCAGTTATATATAGTTACATAAGTTATATATAGTCATATGTTATATAAGTTATATATAGTTACATAAGTTATATATAGTTATATAAGTTATATATAGTTATATATAGTTATATAAGTTATATATAGTTACAAACGTTATATAAGTTATATTCAATTCAATTCAATTCAATTTTATTTGTATAGCGCCAATTCATAACAGAAGTTATCTCAGGACACTTTTCAAATAGAGCAGGTCTAGACCGAACTCTTTATAACATTAATTACAGAGACCCAACAGTACCACCATGAGCAAGCACTAGGCGACAAGGGCAAGGAAAAACTGCCTGTTAAAAGGCAGAAACCTAGGACAGATCCTCCGGCTCTAGGTGGGAGAGAGAGAGAGAGAGACAGAGAGAGAGAGAGAGAGAGACAGACAGACAGACAGACAGGTGCACAGCAACAATATATATATATAGTTATATAGTTACATAAGTTATAGTTAAATAAGTATATATAGTTATATAAGTTATATATAGTTACATAAGTTATATATAGTTAAATATAGTTATATATAGAAACATGAGTTATATATAGTTAGATATGTTATATAAGTTATATAAGTTATATATAGTTATATATAGTTACATAAATTATATATAGATACATGAGTTGTATATAGTTATATATGTTATATAAGTTATATATAGTTATATAAGTTATATATGTTATATAAGTTATATATGTTATATATAGTTATATATGTTATATAAGTTATATATAGCTATATAAGTTATATATATGTTATATAAGTTATATATGTTATATAAGTTATATAAGTTATATATAGTTATATATAGTTAGATAAGTTATATATAGATACATGAGTTATATATAGTTATATATGTTATATAAGTTATATATAGTTATAGAAGTTATATATGTTATATAAGTTATATATGTTATATAAGTTATATATAGTTATATAAGTTATATATAGTTACATAAGTTATATACAGTTATATATAGTTATAGAACCAAAGAGAAAAAGTGTCTTACAATTTCTTTTTTGTGTGAAGACAGAACATTCTTCATTCTTCTTCCTCTGGATATTTTAGCGGCGATAATCCTGGAAGCATGTTTTCTTTTTGGTGATGCAGAGGAACATTTTGCATTTGGTGCACCTCATGTATGTCTTGCCATTGCAGAAGAAAATCTTGATTTCTTGGGCAGTAGTATTCAGTGACACTCCTGTAGTTTGCAGCTGTCTCTGATTTGTAAAAGCTGCCAGATCAAAGATTTTGTTGTCGATGTATTGTGAAAAGTACTGGATTGGACTCCAGTATTCACGGATTCTAGGGTAATCTTGATAGGCAGTAGCCCAGGTAGCACAGGTGTGAATCTATTGTGATGGATGGAAAAAAAAAAACACAAATAACAAGTTAATAAAAGGAGTAACAGTTAATTTTTTACACATCAATTTGGATTAATGCAGTCATTTTAGTGTCAGGGACGTGATATGACTCGCTATTGACCAACCTT